TTTCATCACATGTTATCACTCGATTTAGAAAGTTATCGCCTTCTTCACACTACCTCCTGTCGTACTGATACACATTTTCACCATTACCCCATCTGCCCCGACGTCAACAAACGAGGCACAAATCTTGCTGAAACGCGGCGCATTCCTAATCTATCAATCATAATGCCCTTAGCTGTACCATATGAAATAGCGAACTTATCTGCTACGTGCTCCACACTTACTCATCTATCTCGGAGTATGTACTCCTGAATGGCAGCCACTGTTTTTTCATCTGTTACAGTCACTGGTCTACCTGCACGACTGTCGTCTTCAGTTGCCTCTCTACCGTCTTTAAACCACTTCATCAACTTTAAAATGCTACCTTTTGACAGAACAGCCTCTCCGTAAACATCTTGTTAATCTTCACGAATATATGAAAAAGACTTTCCGAAGTTTGTGTAAAACTTTATAACAATTCGTTGTTCGTTGACGCTGTGTGACGCCATTTTCGATCGGACGCCCGTAACGTGACGTCATTTACGGTTTATGACGTCATAAATGATGACGTCAAAGTTTTATATATATAGTACGATTCAATTTGAAACAATATATTTTCATAGTATTTTAAGTTTCATTTTTCACAGGTCAGTAGTTTTGACGCTATTGAATTAGTGTACGAATTTATTGATGCACCCTCGTATATTTATTTTGTCTAATACATACAATATATACGAAAAATGGTCCTATAAAGAAAAAAGGCATCACAAATACATTACATATCACTGTACTTATAACTGATATTAAACAGATCAATTTGAATCAGAATCTATTTATTCAAATATGACTTATTGCTCTAATAATTTATACAAAGATAAGAAAACTACTTGCTAATGTATAGCATCTTTCACTTAGTAAAAATATATTTCACTATAATCTACTATTTACATACATGTATATAACTAACATAATGAATATTAAACATAATTATATACCACGACTCCTTTACAAATCATTTCAAAAATCTAAAACAAATCAAGAATAAGTTCAAGACTTTTTAAACTCATGATACACAGCATATAATTTGTTCCATAGATGACCAGCTGTAAAGAAAAAATACCTTAGTACAGATCTCCTTTTTGTCGCGTGCCCAATTTAATCCATGTGAAAATAAAAATGTAAAAAAAAATCTTTAATGAAAAACCTTAACTTTTCACATGTTTTTTTCGAAACTGTTAGTTTTTTCCCGTACCAGTGTTTTGTAATAAAATTTTCTTAAAAAAGAAAAATATCATAAAATCGGTTAATTATCAAAAAAGAAACTGCGCTAGACAGGGGGTTCCCTCGGCTTGTAAAAAAAATCTCAGGGGATGTAGTTCAAGGGGCCTGTTTTTTTTAATGAAAGAAGTTCAAAAAGGGGGGCGATGTTTCTTTAAAAAATCCCCATTAGAAAAAATTTGGGAAATTGGATGGGGACCCCCCTTTTAAAAGTCTTTAATAAGTGTAAAGTTTCAATTTATTCTCTTCACTTGTTTTGGAGATACCCACTGGCAAGCAAACATATTACAAAAAAATTAACGCCGACAAGTACAATTACAATATCGTTCCCTCTTCCTTATATAATCGAGTTAAAACAAGAAATTTCAACAATCTTAACAGGCGATATTTTAACGGACCAAACAGGACACTATAGAAACGGATAGAATGTTGTAGCGAACTTGATTGCGCAACTCAGGAGTTAATTTAGGTTATAGAAAAAAAGAACAAAATAAGTTGGAGGGCCATTTTCCATGTGATATATGAATCGATTGATTTTTCGACGAAACTAACAGTTATTCGTTGGAAGATGCTGAAACTCTATATTTTATTATATACCGTCTGACAAATCAGAAAAAAACATCAAAAACGTCGCCATTGCATTAAAGGCACATTATGCCTCAGAAACACAGAATTTGTTCCTTCTTTAGAATTGGCAAACTAAGGTTTAATAACGTTTAAATAATGGTTTAAAGGGCATTCGAGATGGTTATCAACAAAATGAAAAAGTGCAGAAAATGAAATTTTTTTTCATAAAAGTAGCAAAATATAAACAAATTTACATAGTATTTTGACCTCATACAAAATAATAAATCAGCGTAACTGTACCATCTGCCAAAAGGCAACATAAGCAAAAGATGGTTCAGAGAATTAGCAGATCAGTTACCTTTTAGAAATTTAAACATGATTTCAAAAATAATAATCTTTTGAAAAGTAAAAATGAATGCATTTATGGGACATAATAAGGAAACTTACCAAATTTGAGTTCCAAAATGTTATCCATATAAAATTGACGTAATGACTCTCTATTGAAGATTGTTAAACAATGAAAGTGAATTCCGGACGATTAAAATGAGTGAACGAAAATTCGTGCAAATACAATTTGTCCACGCTTTTTGCTGCCTATAAGGCTTATATGACATGTAATTATTTTATTTAGTGTAAAATTTTCAATAAGAACATACATTATTTTCAATTAGATTTATTTATTTTTAAACGTTTTCATTAATTTACCTGTTCATAAAACAAAATCGTCGTGAACGTCAAATACTGTTACTATAGTTCGCTAGGACAAACAAGAATGGATCCTCGACTTCGCCTAGGGAAATTTGTTGTTTATGCCAGAAAACTCTCTTCGTCTGTTAGAAGACACTTTTGAAGAAAATAAAATTGCAATGATACCTTGTAGAAATTAGGTGAAAGGAATAGCGTGATCAAAAAGTATAAATATTTTATAAAATGATTAAATGATGCATATAAGCACTGCGTCAAAAATTAGTTTTGTTGTAATTTTGTAGTTTTATGCTTATGAATCCTGTGCATTGTCTATGAGGTATTGTTGCAAATTGTTCATCATTTTACTTACAGAGGTTTTTCTTAATATAAAAATCGGTCTACTTCACTTTGGATAAACTAAGTGCTGACTATGACATATCATCTTTAACTAACGGTTTATGTGATTTCCTTTTTTTTACTCATATACCATTTAATGTTTGTCCGTTCGTCATCTGTTTCATCTGAAGAAATAAAGATCCTGTCATAACTGAAAAAAATACAAAAACTAGATGGATGATAATTAGTAAATGGATAGAGGACTACATGGAAATTATGCACGTCCTTTTTAATCGCCTTTACAGAAGAGTGGCGACATAGAGTGACCACTTCCCCGTCTTCTGTCCGTATGTAACAAAATTTGTCCGGACTACTCCTAAAAATCTACTGGCACAATTTCATCCAAACTTTGCAGTGATCATAAGTACCAATTTACGTTGTGCATTTTCTGCCTCAATTTGTGAGAGTTATGGTCCTTTTTTAATAATTTCTATTTTTGAAAGATTGTCCGGACTATTGCACTTACATGAACACCACACATGCAATTTCAATTAAAACTACTTCAAGTACTTTCACAAATTACACGGGTTTTCTCGCTGAAATATTTTTGGCCGAGTTATGGCCCTTGAATAAAAAAGTGTTAGTAAAGTATGTCGAACTACTCCCCTTATACCACTTATGCAATTTCAATGGCATTTTACAGGATTGATCGGTAGCTCAAATGCTTATGCATAGTACATTGGTTCTTTTTGACCGAGTTATGACCCTTCAGTAAAAAAGTTATTTCTTCTGTTACCAGCTGCACAGAAGCTTGTCTTGACTACTCCTCAGAAACTACTTGTGCTATATCATCCATACTTTAAAGGAATTATAAATACCAAGTCTAGTAATGCACATCGTCGGCATCTGTTGGTTCAATGATTTTTGTCAGCGTGATGGCCGTTGAATGAATTTTATTTTTTAAAATTTGTCCGGACTTCTCCCCTTATACCACTTATGCAATTTCAATGAGATTTTTACAGGATTGATTGGTAACTTAAGAACTTTCACATAGTACATGGGTTTTCTGGATAAACGATTTCTGGCTGAAATATGGCCCTTGAAGTAAGAAAAAAGGGTTTTGTCCTGCTAATTTTTTGTGTGTCTCCTGTTACTGGTGCAGAAGCTAAAAGATGCAAGTGGTTATCATGAGGCGACATATGTGATCTCTTATCGCTTCATAACATTTTCATCGAAAAAGAAATGTGGTTACTATGTACATGGAAATGCCAAAGAAAAGAAAACACCCACTTAAACACAAAAAATAAAACATAACAAAACGTGTTTTGTCGGTGTGGTCTGTGTGTGTTTTCTTTGTTTTGTTTTTCTCTTTGGCATTCCCGTGTCCATAGCTACCGCATTTCTTGCGTTTAAAAGTTTCATTAAAATTGTATGAGTGGTATAAACGGACTACTCTGGACAAACTTTTAAAAATAAAAATGATTTAAGGACTATAACTCTGACAAATACCAATGAAGCAGAAAATGCTGATGATATGTACAACTGAACTTGGTACTAATGATCACTGTAAAGTTTGTATGAAATTGCGCGAGTAGATTTCTAGGAGTAGTCCGGACAAGTCTTGTTACAGACTGACAGATGACGGGGAAGTGATTTCCATATGTCGCCTCTACCCTGTAAATGCAACACAAAAATGACGTGCATAATTTCCATGTGGTCCTCTATCCACTCACTAAGTATCATCTACCTAGTTTATATATATATATATATATATATACTTTTAAACTGTATGACTGTAAATGGTAAGTATACAATTGTATGTTTCATAAAATGTATGTCTCGTCAACTATATGTGCATTATCCTGTAGATTGAAGCGTAAACCAAACAAATAACATATCTATTTATCAATTTATGGTCACCTGCCTTATGGTTTTCTATGCTATGCTTTGCATTGCTATGCTATGCCGTGCTATACAGTCCTATGCTGTGCAAAAGACTTATATCTAACTTGACAGTCCCCTGGTTACCTTTAAACCAAAGATGACCAAAGATGAAAATAAGTAGAAACAAAATGATTGGAAACATGAGGTTTTATTACTCTAAGCATATTAAACAAGCATAAAAGTAATAGATATAGGTATTTGAGTTTCAATTTGAATACATTGGCATGATTGAAATGTCCATCATATTACATTACAAAGATATTATCCCTTTTATAAATATATTTTTATTCAGACTGACCTGTTTTGAGAATGCTATAATGGAAAGTGAGGAACTAGATAAAGATTTGTTTAAGAATTGGGTGCGAGGCTCAAAAGGACTAGAATACTTACAGGAAGGTCTTCAAGAATTTGTTGGAGAAAAAGTACTGCAATGTCGTGATAATACCCTTCAAAAGATATTATCAGCATTACCATCTGGATCACCTCAACAGTGCAACCAGTGTACAGAAAATAATCTTTCTCCAGAACATTTCAATTCTACGAAGGCATGTAACAGACGCACATGTAGACAAAAGACCTCGAACAACTGTTTTGGAAGCAGACCAGTCGGACGTAGAAAATGTCCTGATGGCATTTGCAGTAAATTTTACGACGCAATTATAGATGAGCATGCATTTGAAGACCCCTTATGGAAGAACACAGACCCAAGTACGTGGTGTTCGGATCCTCATGGGTGGAGTTATGCAAAATGTTTCCAAACAACTAAAGATCCAGGGACATCAGCTCAAGATACAGATGCTGCTGGTCTGCTGAGCATTATTATAAACAACAAGTCAATACAAAACTTTGTGACCAGAATTAATCCTCATACCAGGAGTTCGTTTCATACGGTAAATACAGGAAACGGTTGATGATTTATAAATGATTATATATTCATCAATATACTAAATTATTTACTGAATAGATCTAGACTTACTTGAAAAAATATAATTTTGCCATTTTATTTTAAAGATAACCTTAATCGAAATGTAAACGTATAAATATCAACTCGAACTGCAGACTTTCCTAAGTAAGGCTTAAACGTATAAAAATCATTATAACCAAGTATTCCTTATTAACCTTGAGCAGAAACAAATAATGTTCTTTATGATTATGCATAAGAATAAGAATTATGTGTTATGATTCATTTTTCTTCACAAATGTATGTATTATAAAAAAATATTTCAGGCGCGAGACATCCGAAATAAAATTTTACATAGCTCAAAGCTTGAAATCGACGAAACAACTGTGTGTTCTTATTTGGACGCGTTCATTGTTGTTCTTCAAGATCCAAAGTGTCTAATTAACGAAGAGGCGTCAAAGAAAGCGGTTCATAAACTAACACAGGTAATCACTTATATATTACAATATGAATCTCACTAGTTGATGTAATATATGAGTATCTGCTTTGATTTCAAATGCTCATTGACCTTTTTAAAGGTTGACATCCGACTGTCTTTTAGCTAATTTTGTTGTATATTAATTTTAAAATGACGACTAAATTGCAAAAAATAAGGGAATCATTATATAAATTACAATAAGTTTATATCAATAAATTTTTACTTTTTTATACTCGATACTCGGTGTTGCAAGTAAATCTGTCCCAATACGATTTAACACTGTACTACAAACTTTTTGATCGAGGAAAAAAAACAAGTTATAAAGAAAGAATAATCATAGGTAAAGGTCAATGTTTCTAAAATAGAAAAAAGGTTTCCGACTGATAACTATAGTTAGATCTGAGACATGACAATTAAACAAAGAACATAGCTTTTCATTTAGGAGACGACTAGTAAGGGATTGTTATTTGGCTTCGTGCGGTCATGGTAAAGGGCACTGTTACTAAAAACAGGAAAAAATGTTTCTGGATGATAACTTTTATTGACATGATGTAATCAAACTAAGTATAAAGCAAGCAGTTTGTGTTTTTATAAGATATTAGGAAGTATCGAAGTTAAATTAAAACTGAATATGTAAAATTGACATCGCCACTGGTGAAGTTTGCTCACTTGAAGGTTCTTACTTAATAAAAATCAATTTTCTTGTTATTTTAGAAGTCATTATATGGTTGTCTAAAATATCTCTATTACATTTCTTATGATAAATATAGATGTACATATTTCACGCGTAAATGCAAAACTCCCTATAAATATACTGAAAGATGTCAAGTTATATTACTCATGCATGAGTGCAAAACAGCTTTATTTAGCATCATTAAGCCATTATTTTCCCTGAGTTTAATCTTAAGCATATATTGTATGGAGTCTATCTTATGCACACACACAAATTGAAGCAATATTTTGAAATATATAGAAACAATACATTATATAAAAAAAGTTATATATTGTTCAAACTCTACTTTTGGCAAGGAAGCGAATTTTCCTTTCCATACACATCACATTTCATAATGTAAGTCAGCAACCCTTCTAGTTCATACACTTTAAATTTCATTATTCATTTGAACGCACCCATTGCATAATTTTACAATATAGCTGATGTAAAATGAAAGTAAGGAAGTTTTTCTTTACTGTTTAAGCTTCGCGAATAATACATGAATTTTACTTACAACCGTAGACGGAAATGCCAAAAATGTTAACATTATCCGAAGTTTTCGATTATATTTGATGCATGCAGTAAATTGAAGAGTATAAATGAGTATTTTTGGTAACGTTCTTTGTTTATACTTCCTAATTCGAGCAGATATTAAGAAAAGGATAATATTTAGCAATCGTAGAAGTTATCTCATGTCTCTGTTCAATAAATACTTCAGTCAAGACCATACATCATCAATGCGTCACCGCGCGCGAATACCGCCGCACCCTTTTTGTTGGTTTTCAAAATTACTTATGCTAGATTTAAGCAACAGCATTACCTACGCCACCAACACAAAATTTATACCAATAATGCTAGATTAAACTTACAACATCACATACGCCATCAACACAACATATATAACCACTAAAATCGCAATACAATAATAATAAAATATGATTTCTTGGTTTGGCTTTAAGTCTACCGAAACTGTAAAGAGCATGTGGAAAGCTGGAATAGGAATACCCGAGGTACCCATTTGTTCCCTGCGGGCCGGAGACCGCAGGGTATTGGTACGCGTTTAATTTTTGAGGCGTGACATGATATGTTTTTGGTACATGGAGGAGCATGTGTTCTGTAAACCATACATGATTGGTTTATTGACCTTTTCGAAACCCTAGCTAAATACCGTTTGCTAGTACGTTACGGATTTACTTCTGGGAAAATTAGTCCAAATTACACCTAATTAAGAACATAACACTCTTACCTGATATTTCTAATTTTCTATAGTGATTTTACCGTTAAAGTTGGTAAATCTTGCATGATGTGTTTAAAAATTATCAACATATTTCTTTAATATCTATCTCAAATTTTACAAACAATAAATTGTTTGAAGTGAAAATCTAAAAAATTAAAACATTCGTAGTGGCGTCTGCCATAATAAATAGAGATATTTTCTCTACGTAAACTTGTGTGTTTACTTTATTTTTTGCACGGAATTATTCATACAATGGTATTATTACAACTGTTTTATTTTCGACCTTCTCTGGTCTCCGGTCTTTAACCGACACCATACAGTCTCCAAAGACCTTCTCCTATTGATCGATAATTGTCAATTATATTCCTGATACAAACGTTTATTTACCTTTTTCTTCTTTTGTTTTATTTGTTTTTCCAAACAATGTTGAAAATAGTTAAGTGATATATCTTTATATCATAAAAAATGTTCCCCGCAGGAAACCATTTTACTTGTATATTATTTTATATGGACTACTCAAAATAGAAGTTGATAAAGCAGTTGAATGTTTTATCAGAATCACTAAACGGTGGTTTCATATACATGTATTAAGATTCAGTGTTGTAAACGTAGGGCGACGCTTACCCGCGGGAGGTTGTAAATTTGAGTCCAAGCGGCGCGCTTTGGTGTCACCTACTACACAAATGGCGGCAACATGACTGTAGTAATCACTTCATCATCGTCTGTCTGTCCATCCGTCTGTCCGTTCATCAAAAAATTTGTCCGAAGTACTTCTCAAAAACTACTAATGCAATTTTATCCACATTTTACAGAAATAATAAATTATATTTATATTATGTATATATATGAAAAAAAGAATAAAGCGATGCCTTTTCCAGTTTACATTGCAATTGTTTATTTACAAAACTGTAATAATAATTGAAGAGAAATATCAACCGGTTTCACCCGTTAAAGGGATCTTCAAGAAAATGACGTTAATAACGTCTCTAGCTAACGACGTCAAAACAGTGTAAAGAGACGTTACTCTTATAACGTTTTAAAGGGACATAATTATAAGCTTTAATATTATTGTTATATATCAAAGTTATCTTGAATTCAATTCTGGTTTAAAAACGTTTATTAATACAGTTTCTTTCATTCTTCTGTTCTCGCATTTTATAGATTGGCATTATATTAAACTTTGGAGTCTCTTGCGCTAATGGCAATGTGTCGACTGACTGGTAATAATGCATTGTCTGGATTCGTATATGTTGGCTGTGCTCATTCATTATAAGTTAAGCTGACAATTGTTGCTCGATGTCATTTAGAAAGAAAATGTTAGGAACCCTTTCCGGAAAATACCGTTTTTACAGCAGAACATATCACAAAAATATATTTCATGTAACTTCTATAGTAAAAGAAAGTGGCATTGCATTCAGTGATTAATCTTTATTGAAATATTTCATCCATTTTTAGTCGAAACCAGTAATTTAGATTTTGTACTTCATTTGTGATAGGATTCAACTAGACACAATCATCAAACTAATTGTGTTGTAAGCAAACAGTTGATAATTAAATTTAACTAATATATGCCTTTCGCATTTCAGTTAAAAAACAACACAATTCACATAAGCCAGGGAGACACAGTGTCACTTCTTGAGAATAGAAATAAGGCGTTAACCGAACTTGACGAAAGAACAGCAAAATCATTGCGTAAACTCGATGAGAAAGCATTGGTTGTTCAAAAAGAAGTTAAGAATGTCGCTTTAGCTGCAAAGCGAACAGTTTCTATGAAGAAAAGGGTTGCCATATCTAAAATAAACACAGCCGAGAAACAAGCAAAACAGAAGATTGATGATGATATATTTGAAATTGAAAAATCTGTGAAAATGGCAAAAAATAGTATTGTCAGAGAGAAAGGAAGTGCTTCCTCCGCTGTTCACACCAAGGTTCGTTTTCAACACTTCATATTAACTGTGTTGTAAAGGTCTACAAGGCAATGCTACATTACAAATATCTAACATTTTGGCAAAGCAGTCCTCTACATGAAGTTTTAAATGTATTTTATTTTCTTTTATAAGTTTATATACACTAAGTTCTCGAATTTAGACCAAAGATAATGTTTTATTACACTTTTGTCATTGTAAGTACCAAAACGAAGTTTTTAAGACTTTATTGATATACAAGTATATGTAAAGTTAACGACCTCTAAGACGGGGCAATTTAAATATAAATTCTGTAGAAGTCATGAACATTGCTGTTTTACTAAAGGAGACACACATGCATTGTCCTATGTTTATATAAACTAAGTGACCTTAGAGGGGCCACAGGCTGGACCAAGTTTGATCCAAAGGACATAATTTATATAACTTTTGTAAAGGACCACAAGGTAGAGCTACAGGCATACTATCTAATCTTTTTAGATTATTGGCATTGTATCTTATGAGAGGATTGTTTTTAGATTTAATTTTAATGTTCTTTTCAAAGATTTTGCGATCTGATTCAAAAATATGACATAAACAACTATCCCTTATATTATAATTGTATCTCTTTTTATTTTTACAGGGGTTGCAAAGCCGAGAGATGAAAGGTAAATAAATTCATCTTTCATAATTTTAAATAATAACATGATGTTTTCTTCTTAAGTTAAGTTATATTTATTAAGATAATGAGATTTGAAAGTTACTTAAGTGGTTATGGCTATCACTAGCCCAACAAATTGTGCGCTATAGGGTTTTTATTATATAGACGATGGTAGACATCTAAGACTATCAGATTATAAAATCGGTTGATCTTGCAGTCGAAATATTGAGACTAGGCTAACACGTACTATGCTGTAAGTCACAGAACTGTCAACGATTTAGCTAATTTTAAGAATAAGGTAAAAAGTAAACATCATTATTTGCATGTTGATTACGAGCCTGTGTTTATAGTTAAATGTGACGTTACTTTGTCAAGCTAGCTGAAACTGAGTGAGGTTTTATATAGCAACTTGAGTGTTAAAACAACTTATTTATATTAAAAGAGAACAATAAATATCTTAACAAACTGATTATTGCCCAAAATTAATTTCAGGAATCATAAATTTAGAAAATTGCTTAAATCGATGTACTGCTGAATTAATTTAAAAGAATACTGAGATACAATATTAAAAGTTATGAACATAAATTATTGCAAAGTAGTTTTTTCCTACCCTGCTATGAAAAAATAAGATTTTAAACGGGCGTCGTGATTTTCTTTCTGAAATCAAGCAAAAATCCTTTTCTTTTACACATATGTGCAACCTTTAATTAAGCCTTGTTCATATATACTTGAAGCTTATGAACTTAAATTCATATAAGTGTGGTTTTTAAGCTGGTGCTAGAGGGCGTGAGGGATGTTGCACTTATTCATTATCTCTCATGTACAGACCCAATTAAACCGAGTCTGCATTTTTCGTGTAATTTTGTAATGATTAATGCTTCCAAGAAATCACTTTGTTTCCAGATTTCAGAGAGAAAAAAGATCCCAATTACTTTGAAACAAAAAGTTTAATGGTTCTAGTTAAATATATTTTTATTTGATAAAAGAGTTATAAGAATTGATCAAGAAATAAAAAAATAAGTAGGGGTGAGGTGTTTTTCTTACTGAATTTCGGAGTGGGGTTTTCAGAAGGTAACCTGAAAAACTTGGCAACGAAAAATTTAATATTTCTACCTAATTCATTTTCAATTTTAAGACTCTGCTTTGAACCTTATGAAGCAATCTTTTGTTTGGATCCAAAATGATTAAATTTGATTAAGAAGCAAAAACATTTTGGAGGGGACGCCGTGTATTTCTTACGTACCGAATTCGAGAGGAAAAAAAGAAACACTTTAATTTTAATACATTTACTTAATTAATTTATATTTCTTAAGCGTTCACAGAAAGTTAGTGAAGTAATCTCTCATTTGATTCCAAAATTATCAAACTAGATTATAAATAAAACATTCATTGTTAATTGAAACATAGGGGAGTGTCCAGAAGTTCGTTAATATTTAGAATATTCAGAAAGAAGAGCGGGCGTCATGCTTGACTTAAAATCGTTTAACTTTGTGAATCAACATTTTTCATATTTGACATGTTTCTTTGTAAACGTTTTATTTTTGCACTTTTAAATCACCTGTCACTGATCTTTTGTGATCGCAATAAAGGACAGAAAAAACGTCAAAAATCAAAAACATAACCCAATGAGCTAGAGCTTAGAAATGTAACACAAAATATCTTCGAGTGGCTGTCTACCACGTTCGTTAACAAAAAGCCCTGGGGCCAAAAGTGGCCCGCACAAGGGTCATTGATTTCCGTATATGCATATACATGTATTAAAAACAAACACAAGATCTTCTTCTTTTATACAATAAAGACTTTGGGTTAGTATGAGACATTACATTCATTGTCTGGGGGGACCTCTACAAATATTGTTACAATTATAGCCTTTTTATCATCAAAATTGGCCCCTTATAGAAACAAGTGGCTTCGCGTAGTATCCATTGACTAAACAAGCACTCCATGAATTCCCATAGCAACTATAAATATCCATCGCAACCGGTGACTTTCTATAGCTACAAATGACTTCCATAGAAACCACTGATTTCCATAGCGACTATTGACTTCCATAGCAACCATTGACTTTCCATGGAGACCATAGACCTCTTTAGCAACCAGTGACTTTCCATAGTAACCAGCGCCTTTTCGTGGCAACTATTGATTTTCCAACCTTTTAGTATTTTTGCAACCATTGATAATTTAGAGCATTCATTAACTTCAATAACAACCACTTAATTGCAATAAAAATCAGTGACTTTCATAGCAACCATTGACTTTACATAGCAACCATTGACTTTCCATACCAAACATCGATTTTCATAGCAACGATTGACTTTCCATAACAATATAGACGTTCATAGCAACCAGTGACTATACAATTAGTCTAACGTGATATTGACTATATACCACATCTAGTCCTTAATACATTCGGATTTTACAAGTTTAGCAACTATCTATTGACCTTTTCCAATTAACATTCATATATTGTAGGAACGAAGTAGTATTCAATCTGAGCAACTGTCTCTGTCAAGAGTGAATGTCAAGTGTATCTGTCTCTAATAGATTAGCAGATTAACGAGCACGCATTAGTATGGCGTCTCAATTGCAGGCGAGGACTAAAATAAAGAGAGACTTTCGCTCACATAGAGTGCTGAACACTTGAACTAATTGATACATTACACAAGGTAACTAATTACTATGTGGTACATTATGGACAAGGTCCAGACTCTTAGTTGGCTGCAACTGCAAAGATATCGATGTATTCGGGTATGGGAAAGTCCCAATGGGTTGCCTATTTAAGTTCCACTTCATTGGGGTGCGCATACGCTCAGAATGATGTAACATAACGTACTGAGAGTTTTTGTTTATCATTGGTAGAGAGCAACAATATACCGATCGGGCGCTGGTGGCGAGAGGGAAACGTTGCCTAACGATGACTTTTCATAAAGCAATCTGCAGTTTGTTCTAGGGCTAATGGAACCATGTGTCCAATCGACACAACATTGGATCGCGTTGTCTCATGTATCAAAGAATGAGCAAAAACCAATCGAGATTTTGCTCATATGAAAGGCGAACCATAGTCCTTTCATAGCACTAAACTGACGTTGATCTTTTCTGCATTGGACAAAAATGCTGACATATGGTGAGTAATTCATAGCGAGGGAAGTTAATGAGTGGCTCAATAGCAAGCTTATCGCTAAGAACTTCTCTTCAATGGCAACGTTTCGCAGTTAAATGTGTGCTAAATATGAGCATCTACCTAATAGAGTGTTTTGACGAGTTACAATCATTGTATCATTGTCTATACGAAAGGCGCTGCAAGAGCATTAAGACTATTCATATAGAGACCAAGATCACTGTAGATATGCATTCCACTAGAGCGTCGATGTTCTATGAAAATAGGCGCTATGCTCGACGCATCTAGATACATGATCAAGAATGTAATGCGCCTCTCATGTAGTAATAATTAGGGCAAGATTACATTAGTACTTCCGCAATAGCGAACGTGAAATCGTCAGAGATGATCAATCTGTTTATGTCTTTCGTGCACATAGGATCTGCAATTTTGTCTCATGTCATTAGCAGAGCCTAGTTGACCACATAGAGCAGTAGATACTATCTCGGTCTTTGTGTGCGCGCGGATGATAAGAGATATAGTGTATCTTCCATGTGCAAACAATTGACTTAAGTTTGACATAATTTATATGCGAGGCCTCAGTTGCAAGTGACTTGTGGCAGTAAGCATATTTGCATGTCTTTCTTATAATCTATAAGACGTGACGGCTCATCCATACCTGAGATCTCTCGATACAGCTCCATCTTTGGAGGTCATGTGAGATTCTTATGTTTTAGGAGAATAACCATAATGAGACTGGTCTACTTATAATATTATTTGTTAACATGATCTATAGATGCAGAAGTCATGCCTATCGCTATAGTTTAATCACTCATCATGGCAGCTCTATCTATACTGTTTACCACACAATTAAGATTCGCAACTTTGATATTATTGCTCGCATTATAAACGGAGACTACATTGGGACAGTTTTATATGAGACGTGTTCTCTCTTAGTAATCTCTGGATTAGTTATCCATACTGAGTTGATTAGTACATATAGCGAATTAGTTCTTGTATCAGGTAGGTTGCTTTATAGTACAGAACGAGAATTTACATAGGTGTTTGTTTATAATTGTCCTCCATTGTTTGTTAAAATATGATATAGAGATAGAAGTATATATTATATTCTTGTTATTCCTCTGGACGACGGACCGGACTCACCCAGATTTAAATTAATAGGTCCTCTCCTGACTTATCTCTAAGTGCCGTCGATTATTTTTTCTCTCTGAGATTTACAATGTATATACTATATGCTTTGTAAGAACTCAACGGTCTACTTAAGCTCATGAGGGAGATTATTCTGTTCATTTTAGAGAGTGTACTTTTACTTAGTTCTCGTGATTGTAGTCGTTTATCAAATATAAGAGATATATTCAATTGGAACGCACGAGTGATATGTTTGATATAAGTTATGAGAAATGGCTAAAACCACCCAGGGATATACGATAAATTGTTATAACGCTGCTTACAGGAAGAATCTAAGAGAGATATCGGTGTAGCATTCGGTGGTTTCTACCCAGGTGCCGGTGGTTTCGGTGCTCCTGTCGGAAAAATAATGCCCGGACGGGCACCCGGGGTCTTCCTCCACCAATAAAAGCTGGAAAAAATCGACGAAAAAATCTCGGTGGAATGCTCTAGGATGGCCCGACTTGAGTGTACGGTCGCCCATATGGGCTTTTTGGCGGCGTCCTTAAATAAACGCATTAAAAAACTATTATCGAAAAAAAACTATTATGTACTGCTTTACAAATGCATTTTCACAGCTGTAATTAAGTACATACAACAATAAACGGTACATTCGGTCGAAATTTAATCTGTGCCAATGAAAATGAAAGTTGAAAATGCAAGATCTATTTACGGATAGCCGATATTTTGAAGTTCGTTATAAAAATGTAATTTTCTATACTTTTACTCAAATTGGGACTAAGAAATGAGTTCCTTATAAGCGATAATTCCTTATTACCGTGTTCGCTATAACAGTATACTTATATATTAAATAAAG